GTCTCTACTAAAAAATACAAAAAACTAGCCGGGCGAGGTGGCGGGCGCCTGTAGTCCCAGCTACTCGGGAGGCTGAGGCAGGAGAATGGCGTGAACCCGGGAGGCAGAGCTTGCGGTGAGCCGAGATCGTGCCACTGCACTCCAGCCCGGGCGACAGACCGAGACTCCGTCTCAAAAAAAAAAAAAAAAAAAAAAAAGGAAAGAGGTTTAATTGACTCACAGTTCCACAGGCTGTACAAGAAGCATGGCTGGGGAAGCCTCAGGAAACTTACAATCATGGCAGAGGGTGAAGAGGAAAGAGGCACATCTTATATGGCTGGAGCAGGAGGAATAGAGAACAGGCAGAGGTGCTACACACTTCTAAACAACCAGATCTCACGAGACTTCACTCACTATCACAAGAACAGCAAGGGGGAAATCCACTCCCATGATCCAATCAGCTCCCACCAGGTCCCTCCTCCAACACTGGGGATCACAATTTGACAGGAGATTTGGGTGGGGACATAAATCCAAACCATATCGGGTGTCTTTGTTTTCTAGTTGTTTGTTGCTGATGCAAAGAAAAACAATTTCTATAGTTTGAGCTTATATTTAGCAACTTTGCTAAATTCACTTATTAATTCTAACAATTTATCTATAGATACTTTGGATTTTTCTATGTACACATCATCTGCAGAAATTGAAAGCCTTATTTATTCACTTCCAGTCATTACTCCTTTTCTTTTTCTTGCGTTAATGCACTGCCTCCGACCTCCAGTACAATGTTGATTAGAAGTGAGCATACCAGGTGTCCTTGTCTCATTCCCAATCTCAGGAGGAAATATTTTCCATGTTACCATTAAGTTTTGCCATGCTTCTTTTAAACACACCCTTCATCAGGCTAAGGAAGTTCTCTTCTATTTCTAGTTTGCTAAGAATTTATACTGTGTTGAATTTTCTCAAATCCCTTTCTCTTTAGAGAAATTAGTAATAGATCATATAATTTATTATGAATATATGAATTCATATATTCATATACATTCAACACAATATCATCAAAATAATAGGTTATATGATCTCTAAGAAAGATCATATAACCTATTACTAATTACATTGACTTTTTAAATTTATTGGCATATTTTCCATAATTCCCTGTCCTTTTAATGTTTGTAGAATCTGTAGTGACGGATATTTATCATGGACATTTGAAATTTTGTATTTTATTTGTTGATCAGTCTAGAGTTTCTTGCATATATTAATCTTTTCAGAGAACTAGCTTTGATTTTTGCTATTGTTTGTCCTCTAGAGGTCATGAAAACAAATGTGAAGGAGGAAATTCACAAGAAGTGCCAAGCATATATAGTAAGCTAGACACTTATGAGACATGAAGAAAATGCATAGGATGTGTAAAGTATAGATAAGTAAACAAGTAGCTTTTAGACAGGCAAAATTCATAAGATGTGTTATAGTTACCAAGCAAGCAACTTGTAAGACGTACTAAAGATAAATGGAATACATAGAATATGATAGAACAAATGAGTATATTACTTATAGATAGAAAGGGACAGGAACACCAACTCATAAGGTATCCTACCACCTTGGTTATATTATACTTAAATTAACCACCAACTGGTGACACTCAGTACTGTTCCATTGAACACAGATAAAACCCATCACTGTTCAGGCTAATTGGTAAGCTATAAGCTGAGGTAAGCAAGGTATGTCATTGACCTTGAGCACCTTCAGTCTGATTGGGGCCCTTTTTCAAACCTCAACTCTGGTCCTTGTAACCAATAAGTCTGATGGAACAGAGACAGACAGAGACAGAGGCAAGGTCTATGAACATTCCATAACACAGGACTCAGGAAATGTAATCCTTCACCCTGTTTGTACCCTAAGTCTGTTAACTTACTCCATCTCTTTGCTTCTTCATGTGTATATATATACACATATCTGTCCTATACGTATATATACACATATATATGTATACATGTCCACATATATGTATACATATATGTGGATATGTGTATATATGGATATTTATATATGTATACATATTTGCATTTTTCAAAAAAATTGATTTAATAAGCCATGTGACTCAACAATTTTATTTTATTTTTTTTTAAGGCAGTCTCACTGTGTCACCCAGGCTGGGGGCAATCTCGGCTCACTGCAACCTCCACCTCCTGGGTTCAAGCAATTCTCCTGCCTCAGCCTCCCAAGTAGCTGGGACTACAGGCATGTGCCACCACGCCTAGCTAACTTTCGTATTTTTAGTAGAGACGGGGTTTCACCATGTTGGCCAGGCTGGTCTTGAACTCCTGACTTCAAGCAATCCACCTGCCTTGGCCTCCCAAAGTGCCAGGATTACAGGCGTGAGCCACCATGCCCAGCCTGACTCAAGCATTTTAATTTGGTCTGTGAGCCTTTCTATTCTGAGACTTCTAGGGTAGCTTGCCTGGTCACATATTGAACACTATCACTGTATCAAGGGAATTTCTCACATTAACAGAGCCCAAAGGATAAAGTGGGAAGGGATCATAATTCACAGTTTGGAGTTTACCTAAAGAAACAGGACAATAATATGAAATAATTGGCTAAAATATTGGGGGCCCAGTATTGATCTGGGTGGTTATAGGGCCAATCAAGGGTCACGGGGCTGATCTTAGGAAACCAGGATAGTTTCGGGAGCCCTAAGAATAAGGTGAAGAAGGACCATAATTAATTTTATTTTAGACATTTTATCTAAAGCAGTAAGACAAATTAAGTAACCGGCATAAATAACGTGGGGGTGGGGCTTAGGGCTGGCCGAGGGGGCACAACAGAGCTGGTATGGGGAAGGTATCAGGGACACCTTTTGCAGTGGGTCCTCTCCCCCTCTGAGTATATATAAGTAACAATGGCAAGGAAATTGTATTAGTCTGTTCTCACACTGCTAAAATACCTGAGACTGGGTAATTTATAAAGAAAAAAGGTTAAGTTGGCTTACTGTCCTGCAGGCTGTACAGGAAGCATGGAAGCATCTGCTTCCAGGGAGGCCCGAGGGAGCTTTTACTCATGACAGAAGGCAAAGAGGGAGCAGGCATCTTACATGGCAGGAGCAGGAGGAAGAAAGGAAGAAGGTGCTGTACACGTTTACACAATCAGATCTCATCAGAAGTCACTAACTATATGGTACTAAGGCGGGATGGTGCTAAACCATACATGAGAACTCCACCCCCAACATCCAATCACCTTCCATCAGACCCCTCCTCCAACATGGGATTACAATTCGACATGAGATTTGGATGGGGACACAGATCCAAACGACATCAGGGATGGAACACAGAAGTGACATTCATTGAGCACTGTGTCCAGAACACAGGCTGATCCCATCCCATACACCTGTGGTCACTGCAGGGTCTTCAGCGCAGCTCCTCGTTGTGTAGAAACCCCAGGGATCACCTCCCACCTCCACCCAACTCCCCATCGCCAACAACGCAAGGTCATGCATCACTAAGACCCCAAGACCCTATAACCTCTGACACCATAGATCCCCATCACTCACCCCAGAGTGCCTCCCATTCCAGCACAGTCTTCCCACCTTGACTGCCCGGGGTTCTTCCCCTCTTCACTCATTAGTGTCATGCCATGCTTTGCCACTTTCCTGCACTGCTCTTCACCCAACACCATTAACCACTGTCATTTACACTGTGCCTCATATCACTCCCAATTTCCTCCACTCTCCACTCACTCACTGCCACTCTACTCCCTCCTTCTCTCCCCAACACTACTCATGTTTACTCACACTCAACTGTTTCTTCTCCAGTAACTCACACCACTGGATATTTCCCCCATTTCACCCTACTCTACCCTTCTGCCCCTCTTTACTCCATTCACTTCCCACTTTGCCCTTCGTTACCCTCCTCTCTTCCTCCAATCCCAATCCTTTTATTCACATGCTGATGTTCATCTCCATCCATCCCCGTCTTTGCTTCACTCACCTCCATTCACCCACATGTGGCCCATCAGCTTGCCATTTGTGTTCCAGGAAGCAGGAGTCCAAGATCTACCTGAAATGGTGAGATCTGACCCTCACTCCCACCCCATTACAGGATGACCTTCAATGGACCTGAAACCCTAGGAAGATTCTCTGTAAGTAGAAAGGCAAAATAGCTTTATTTCCAGTGCCCTTGGGCATCTTTCAAGGAGACTGTACCAGGAGCAAGCCAGTCTGCCCCACATTTCCTCTCCCTGGAAAGGCACTGAATGTGACATGTTTACTTTACCTAGTTCATAAAGTGAGCCCACGGCTTGTTTCCTTGCAGTATTACTCAGGGAAAAAAGAAGGCCTGGAAGGGCACAGGCAGGGTCTCAGGTCTAACTCACCCACCCGTTTTGATAAATCCAAACATTGCCCATCCCTAGTTTTTCATAGCTTAAGTTGTCCAGTTCCAGCAAAGAGATGGCCCCAGTGAAAAGCCACAGAACCATGAGGGCCACAAATACCGTAATTCACAAGCAGGACCGCTTGTTCTGAAGCAAACATCCTGTTATGTGGTCTTTGGCTATGTCCATTCAGACCATCACTCTCAATCTGTCTCTCACCTTAGAAAATATGTATCACCAGCACTAGTGCGACCTTAGAGGAGCAAGTTATTCGACCTCTCTATGGATTAGTGTTTTGCAGCACTTGTAAAAACCGTTTGTATGAATGATGTAATAAAAATCATTTCGTTAAGATATGGAAAGTCCTCGGTGGGCTTTAGTACAGGATCTTTTCACAGATGTCACTGTACATACTAAATACGTTCCAGTCTCAATCATTTTAGTGGTCCCAGCTGACCTGAGAATCACTTGATTTGGCAATCTCAGGAAAATAATGCCTATGTGCCTCTGGAATTGATTGAATAACTGTTGTTCTATCTGCTTGGTTATTCAATTGATTCACTAAAAAATAAACTCTACATTGAGCATATCTATATTAAATATTATAAAATCCTGTACCTAGACTGTGACTTTACTATAACAGTAGAACAAAATAGCTTTTAAAATGTTTTATTTTTGAAAAGGTAGTACATCCACATAGTACATAGTACATCCACATTTTCAAAAACTATGAAAGGATACAGTTGTCTCCCTCTCAATTCCATCCCCACAGCCACCACTGCTCCCTCCCCTTCCAGCGTAATCAGGGTTACCAGGTTCTCGTGTCTCTTTCCAGAGATAACTTACGAATTCACAATTATGTACTTATCATTTTTCTCCTTTGTATATACAAATGGCAGCATATTATACTCACTGTCCTTAACCTTGGTTTTCCTACCTAATAACATAAACTGAAGGTTATCCCACATCACTACATAAATGGCATCCTAGTTCTCCTTATTTATTCATTGTTGTCTACCCAGGAGTAGGCTGTATGAATATACCACAATTTAGGGAACCAGAACCCTGATACGGTATCATTTAGACAGCTTCCAATCTTTTGTTTTCACAAACAGTGCATTAATGAATACTTCTGTATGTTCATCATTTTGTACATGTGTGAGTATGTACATTCCTAGAAGTGGAATTGCTGGCCCCAAAACCAAATGCATTTGTGGTTTTGATTACTTTTGAATCATTCCTCTTTGAATGAGAAGAGTTTTTCCTGGACTTGCTATTTGCTGGAGGTTCATGTGGGAAAAGAAACCAGGGCCACATTCCAAGCAGATCAGTTTTTTTTGACAACTGAGATTTTTTCCCCCCACGTTAGTTCTTTCTGACTTTACTTCTCCCAAGTCAGTAAACGGGCAGCTGTGGGGCTCTTCACAAGGAAAAGTCCCTTCTCTTCCCCCAGCACCCCCATAACTGTTTCTCCCATCAGTAGAAGACTACTTTCTACAAATATGGCTTGTCTGAGTGACTCCTTCTCGAGGCCCCAGCCTGTTTCTCCTTGGACCCCAAAAGGTCTAGGAAACATCCTACCTCCTACCTGCCCACGCACTATTACCACTGTTATATTTATGGTTCCACGCCTCGGTGTATATCCCGAACCTCAGCTAAGAGTCCTTACCAGTGCTGTCTCGCATCTGCAGCCTTGAGCACGCTCACTCTGAAATCTCCTGCACCAGTGCTTCATTTCCTCTGCCTGTGGCAGCCCTCTTATCAGGGTTGCAGCCGTCTTCTAATTTTGTCAGATACAGAGATTACACTTCTGCTTTTTCTCCCGTAGCTTTTGGGTTATGACCGAGATGAAAAGAAAGGCTGAGTTTACTCCCATATTTAAACCAGAAGTCGGAATATACTTTTCAAATGTGAATTAAATTGACACAACTTTCCTTCAATGTCCATAACATATACTGTTGATTAGCTCTCTAATGTGCCATGAACTTTGACTTCCGAGTGTGGCCTCTTCCATGGGCTTTCTTTCCTGTATGGGTTCGTTGATGTACAATAAGGTTTGATTTTTGGGTAAAGGCTTTCCCACATTCCGTACATTTATAGGGTTTCTCTCCAGTATGAGTTCTTTGATGCACAGTGAATGTCGACTTTTCTCGGAAGGCTTTGCCACACTCAGCGCATGCATAAGGTTTCTCTCCTGTGTGCGTTCTCTGATGTATTATGAGCTGTGACTTCTGGCTAAAAGCTTTCCAACACACAGGACATTCATAGGGTTTCTCTCCTGTATGGATTCTCTGATGTATAATGAGCTTTGACTTTTCTCTGAAGGCTTTGCCACATTCATTACATTTATAGGGTTTTTCTTCTGTATGAGTTCTTTGATGGATAATGAGATATGATTTCTGTGAAAATGCTTTTTCACATTCATTGCACTCATAAGGTTTCTCTCCTGTATGACCTCTCTGATGTAGCATGAGGTAGGACTTCTGAGAGAAGGCTTTCTCACATTCATTACATTCAAAGGGTTTCTCTCCTGAATGAGTTCTCTGATGTACACCAAGGTTTGACTTTTGCGTGAAGGTTTTCCCACACACATCACATTCATAGGGTTTCTCTCCTGTATGAGTTCTTTGATGCACAATGAGGGTTGACTTCTCATTGAAAGACTTCCCACATTCAGTACATTTATGAGGTTTCTCTCCCGTATGAGTTCTCTGGTGTATAATGAGAGTTGACTTATCACTGAAAGTTTTCTTACACTCATTACATTCATGGGGTTTCTTTCCTGTATGGGTACTATGATGTATAATTAGATCAAGCTTCTGTATGAAAGATTCTCCACATTTAGTGCATTCATAGGTTTTCTCTCCAGTGTGGGTTTTCTGATGGACAATGAGATTGGACTTCTGAGTGAAGGCTTTTCCACATTCATTACATTCATAAGGTTTCTCTCCTGTGTGAGTCCTGTAATGTATGATGACAGTTGACTTTTCTCTGAAGGCTTTTCCACATTCAGGACACTCAAAGGGTCTCTCTCCTGTATGAGTTCGCAAGTGTATAATGAGCTGAGATTTTTGGCTAAAGGCTTTTCCACATTCGGTACATCCAAAAGGTTTCTCTCCTGTATGAGTTCTCCAATGTACAATGAGGTGTGACTTCTTGCTGAAGGTTTTCCTACATGCAGTACATTCAAAGGGTTTCTCTCCATTTTTAATTCTCTGATGTAGACTAAGGCCTTTCTTTCGCCTAAGACCTTTCCCACACTCTTTATAGCCATAGGGCTTCACTCCAGGATTTGTTTTCTCATACTCAGTATGGAAGAATAATTTTGCACATCCATTATCATATTTATTTTCTGCAGAACGTCTACTAAATAAGTCTAAATTATCTACCATATTATTTCCAAATGATTCGTGTTTATCGGGTCTTTGTATTGAAGCAACAAGGTTTGTACTCAAATGAAGTATGTTTCCAAACTCATGACAGTCACGACCGCTCTTGGTGGTAATTGTTTTCTTGTCAGAAAATCCAACTTGCATCAGCAGACGTTTATCTTGGTCATCCTGATGTTGCCTCTCAATCTGTTCATCAACTTGACAGACTTCTAGAAAGAAGTACAATAAACCACCTTTATGCTTTGACATTATGGAACGGACCTTCTTTAGAATTATTCTGCCATATGAAAGCTGATACTATCATCTCATTTTATCAGAGTTCCTGGAGAGAGAGTTTTTACTAAACTCCCACCTGCTGGTCTTTTTGTTACCAAGAACAATCTTACCCTGACACCTCAGTCTTTCTTACCTGTATTTATACATCACACCTGACTTCCATTAACTCTGGGAAACTTATACCATTAATCTTCAGTTATCATATAAACTTTTTTTTTTTTTAAAGACAGGATCTCAGGTCTGTTGCCAGGCTGGAGTTTAGGGGCAAAATCACAGCTCACTGCAGCCTTGACCACCTGAGCTCAAGCAGTCCTCCCACCTCAGCCTCCTGAGTAGCTGGGACTGCAAGCACGAGCCACCACATCTGGCTAATTTTTGTATTTTTTGTAGAGACAAGGTCTCACTATGTTGCCCAGGCTGGTCTCAAACTCCTGGTCTCAAGCAATCCTCCCGTCTCAACCTCCCAAAGTGCTGGGATTACAGGCACGAGCCACCACACCTGGCCAGTATTATATGAAGTCTTAACTGTACCTGACTTACAGAATTTCTGTCTAGGTGGAAATGCAATAGCATGATTCTCAGACTCATGTCTTACAACAGTAACACCAAATCCACATTCTCAATGAATGAAAGAAAAATATAGAATGATTAGCTTGACAAAAACAAAAAGCTAAAAATATTTGCCCAATCTGGGTTCACCTGTGTATCCATCAAAGCTTCCATTCACAGTTCTTCAACACCACCTTCTCTGCTCCTGTCTATACTATTTCCACTAAAACCTCTGCCTATTCTGTACTCCAAACCCTTCTTTATGTTCCATCACCCACATAGCCCTGTGTTCTGTATTTTGCTATATTCAGAATCTAGATAACTTTCAAGAGGCAGGTCAGTCTTTTCTAAAAAGCTTACTCTGATCTTCCTATATAATTTAAATTTTTATTAACTTCTAAAGTAGTCAGTCATCTGTATCACTCATTTAAACAGTTAAAATTGCAAAGCCTTGCCCTTAATTTCATTTCATCAATTGCAAGCAGCACATTATTTCACATTTTAACATCTCTGAATTCAGATGCACCTTACAATCAACGTCATAGGTTAATTGGTGGCAATTTTTCTTTCTTAGTGGTATGTCTTTAAATCTATGGCAAGTACTTTTTGTATATATGGTGAGTTTTTAATCTTTTTTTACAGTTTACTTTTCTTCTTACTTTTCCCCAAATTTTTATATGAAAATTTTCAAGCATAGAAAAAGTTGAAAGAGTACAATAACTATTCATATTACCACTTAGATTCAATAATGTTAACGTTTTGCTACAGTGATCCTGAATTTTAACATGGATTGTGCAGCTGTGATTTTTCTTCCTGTGACTTCCTTTCTTTGGCTAGCTAAGCATTAGTTCTTAGCCAGAGATGAACACAAAATCATATGAAGAACTTTTTACAAAATGCTCTCCATGGGACCCAAGCTCCACCAAAGATCTGCTGAATCTGAACCTTCTTAGGTGGTAAGAAGCAGTATGGCCCATGTGGTTAGGGTCCTGGGCTCTCTAGCCCAGGAGAAAATCCTGGTTCAACCTTTCACTTGGTCTGTGACCTCAGGCAAGTGATCTAAACTATTTGTATCTTACTTCCCCACCCATAAAGGAATTGTAACAGTGCCCACCCAAATGGATGTTGAGAGAATTAAATTACTTACAACAGGGCTTGCAGGGTACACAGGAAGTACTTTAAATTGTTTACCACCACTGTTACTATTACAACTACTACTATTATGATTTTTAAGAATCACTACATTAATGTAAAAAGAAAGAGTATCTTTATATATTTAACATGTTATAGAATATTAAGTGAAAAATGGTGAATAAAACTGTGCATACACTGTTACTTGAGGCAGGAAACAAAGGGAAAAACTGGGTGATGCTGGAGGTTATTTTGAGCCATAGGACAGGGAAGCTGAAGGGTTTTTAAAGTGTGGTGTGTGGTGTATGTGTGTGTGTTTGTGTGTTATGATATGGTATTAGTTTCATCACTTTGCTTCTTTTACAGCAAGGAATGAGATGAGATCATTTGCTAAAAGAGGGAAAAACAACTTGGAGTGGAGGTTTGAAGGAAGCAAGAAAGGTGTTAGAAGACATGGAATCAAACCTAAGTGTCCATCAAGGAATATCAACGGATAAAGAAAATGTCATCTGTTTACACAGTGGAATACTGTTCAGCCATAAGAAGGAATTAAATATTGTTATTTGCAGCTACATGGATAAGCCTGGAGGACATTATGTTAAGTGAAATAAGCAAGGCACAGAAAGACAAACACTGCATGATCTCACTCATATATGGGAGCTAAAGGAGTTGATCTCATAGAAGTAGAGAGCAGAATAGTGACCAGACACTGGGAGGTGAAGAGGGGAAGAGAGGATAGGGAAAGGTTGGTAAATGGGTGCAAAGATATAGTTAGATAGGAGGAATAAGTTTCAGTGTTACATTGCACAGCAGGGTGTCTATAGTTAACAATAATATAGTGTATCTTTCAAAATAGCTAAAAGAAAAGATTTTGAATGTTCTCACCACAAAGAAACAAATGTTTGATGTGATGAATATACTAACTACCCAAATTTCATCATGACACACTGTATATATGTATCAAAACATCACACCATACTCCATAAATATGTACAATTATGTGTCAACTAAAAGTAAAACTTTTAAAAATGTTTAAAACACTGTGCATAGTAGGAAATGAATAAATATATATTCCTACAGGTTCCTGTTGTAAAAAATGATGGAAGAATAAACCTTTAAATTTTAATAAAGATTACCTATGAGGAAGGAAGGAAGGGAATGGAATGGAAAGGGAAAGAAGCTGGACTTTTCTGAATATACCTTGTTTTCTGTATTGATTTTGGAACCAAGTAAATCTTTTGTAACTATTTTATATAATCATAAAGCAAAACTGAACATAAAAGATTCCTTAATAATAGTAAATATTCTTTCTGCTGCATTTGCTAACGACCATGCTGAAAAGTCTTGATTCTCAATGGCACCGAAATGATTACCTCAATTCATTCAACTCGCTATACACAAGCAACAGTCTCAAGAAGAATACTAATAATACTACTGTCAGATGTAAGATTAATAAATTAAAAACATTTAAGCCCAAAATTTGATTTGGAAATATTAATTTGAACACATGAGATATGTTTTCTGTAAAACACTTATACATAATAGTTCCTAGCTCTGTCAATGAAAAGGCCTCGAAACAATTCTCTAACCTCTAAATCATGGGCTTAAAACATTATTTTCCACTAAAAAGAGCCAGGGTCCCTTGGAGAAATCACCAATTCTAGGTCAGAGGCAGGAAATATACAAATGGAGCCTGGGACATGTTGTAACACCAGAAAGCAAGGAAGCTACCAAAGACTCAGGAGCCAACTTGAAGGAGAGTCCACCGGCCAAAGATGGGACAGTTTAATGTATAATACGGAAAATAAGACAATGGATTAAAACATAGAAATGTATACACCCAGAAGTCCATAAATGATTCACAAAAAAGATATAACTTATTGGTCACCTTTGGATAATGCTACAAAATCAATTCATTATTTTGAAAACTAGTAAATAAATGGAAAAGCTCAATCACTGAGCCTGTCTTTTCTGTATGATATGTAACTCATGGTAGCCAAATAATAGATGAGAAGCAATTTCTCTTTATAGAATTATTCCAGTGGGGCCAGGTGCGGTGGCTCACGCCTGTAATCCCAGCACTTTGGGAGGCCAAGGCAGGCGGATCACAACATCAGGAGATCGAGACCATCCTGGCTAACACAGTGAAACCCCATCTCTACTAAAAATACAAAAATTTAGCTTGGCGTGGTGACACACACCTGTAGTCCCAGCTACTCGGGAGGCTGATGCAGGAGAATTGCTTGAACCTGGGAGGTGGAGGCTGCAGTGAGCCAAGATTGCACCACTGCACTGCAGCCTGGGTGACAGGCCGAGACCCCATCTCAAAAAAAAAAAAAAAAGTTAAACATACAGTTCCTTTTATACCACCATATGGTATAATTCCAATCCTATGTATCTACCCAAAAGAAAGAAAAACATGTATCACCACAAAAATGTGTACATCAACGTACACAGCACCATCATCCATAATAACCAAAAAGTAGAAACAAGCAAAATGTCCATCAACTGATGAATGGACAAACAAAATGTGTTCTATCCTAACAATGGAATTTTATTCCTCCATAAAAAGGAATGAAGTACTGATACATGGTACAATGTGGATGAACCTTGAAAACACACCAAGTGAAAGAAACCAGACATAAAAGGCCACATTTTGTCTGACTCCATTTAAATAAAATGTCCAGAATAGGCAAAACCATAGAGACAAAATAGATCAGTGGTTGCCAGGGAGTGAGGGGAAGAGGGAAGAGAGAGTGACTGCTAGGGAGTAGGGGCTTCTTTTCAGTGTGATGAACATGTTCTAGAATTAGGTAGTGGTGATAGTTGCACAACTCTGTGAATACACTAAAAACTACTGAATTGTATACTTTAAAAGGGTGAATTTTATGGTATGTGAATTTTATCTCAATAAAGCTACTTTTAAAAAATAGATAACCAAGATGTTTTAGGAGAGCAAATCTGACAAATATCTAAACTGAACGAGAAGACTGGACTCAGGTTGTTCAATCTGAAATTAGCACATTAGAGTCCAGGCCTGTGACTAACGTGGGCCTGGCTTCAGATAAGTCAGTGACAGGTGGAAGTGGCAGGGCCAGGAGGTTGTGGCATTTAAAAGACACTTCCATATGGGACAAAAGGAACTGTGCAGAAACTTGCAGGTAAGCACCAACTTACGGAGAGTGGCCTGGTGTATGGGGGACAGCGGGAGTGTCAGTTTTGTGTCTGAGGTGTTCATGTTCCTGTCCTCCAACAGTGCCAAGGGCCAGAACCTTTTCCTAAGATATTCCTGAAAGCCCTGTCAGAGGGCCTCAACTCTGACTAACAGGGTGGAACTTCATGTCCCCAGAGCCTGGGTCAAAATTCCACTTACCTGGAAAGTTCCAAAATGGGATTTTTCCTTCTGCCGGGCATTCTTCTACCTCCAACTTGAGGATGAGGTTTGGTTTGGTAACCTGCTGCCCTGTTGATGAGAAATGACAGTGATACCTCCTTGGCTTTCAGAGCCTCTGAGACAGAAGAAGTTACATATTAGGGGCAGCACAAGGAATCTATTGCTTGACATAATGGTAAAGTCAAACCATTTAACCTGCATTTTGAGCTTACAAACACTTTTTTAGGAGAGAAAAGGGGAAAACTGAGAAAGGAAATGCCTTCCATTGGATGCAATAATCATAAATAGCAAAATTACCTAAGGAAGCCATTCTTACCCACAAAGACCAAGTTGCTGTAGGTCTCCAGCATCACGTCTCTGTACAGGGTCCTCTGTGGCGGGTTCAGGTACTGCCACTCCTCCTGGGTGAAATCCACAGCCACATCTTCAAATGTCACTAGCCCCTGTAATGGTACATTCCTTTTATTTTAAAATGCTGACCACTAGGTGATGAGGATAAAATGCAGGGGAACTTCTGATTGGGTTCCTGGTTCATCATGACGACTCAATACTGGATGTCTATTTCATATCAAGTTAGTGATCTACTTTGTGGGAGAATCACAAATCATGGTAAACAAACAAAAAAAAAAGTAAGTAAGAGAATATTTGAGACAATGCCATATCAGCACAAGGATAGACAAACAGTCCAGTGGAACTAAAAAGGGAATCCAAACATGTATAGACACCTGATTTATGACAAAGTTGGCACAGTAAAGCAGTAGGGAGAAGATGACCTTTTTAATAGATGTGAATGGGTTATTAGATATCTATATGGAGAAAACGAAATTTAACCCCTCTAGCCATACATAAAAATCAGCTACAGGTAAATTGTAAGTCTAATGTGAGAGGAAAGTGTCCATAAAATAATATGGGAAAATGTTTTCATAAGCTTTGGAGTAGGGAAATAATTCTATAACAAAACATGAAAAGCACCCCTCATAAAGGAAAAGACAAGTGTTACAAGATCAAAAGTACTACAATGAAAAGGCAAGCCACAGATAGGGAAATTACTGGCAATCTTCATGAGGGAGAAAGGTATCGTATCTAGAATATATAAAATAGCCCCTTCAAATCAATAAGAAAATCACACACAAAAGAATGGATAAGAGAAGTGAACAGGTACTTCAAATCACACACAAAAGAATGGATAAGAGAAGTGAACAGGTACTTCACTAAAAAGCAAAACCAAATGATCTATGAACATAAGATAATGTACTCAACCCCATTAGCAATCAGGTAAGTGAAAAATTAAGCCACATTGAGACAGCACTATACACCCACAAGAAAGGTTATAATTAAACAGACTAAAATCACATAATATTGTGTTGAAATGAGAACTCTTACACACTATTAGCAGGAATATAAACTGGTATAATCGCTTTGGTAACAGTTTGGCATTATTTACAAAGGTTAATGGTTTGCATACACCATGACCCAGCAATTCTACTCCTAGGAAAATCAGGCACATGTGCTCTAGAAAATAAATATAGGGATGTTCATAGCAGCACTATTTCTAATACTAGATCACAGATAAAATCCAAATGTCTATCAACAGTAGAATGGGTAAATTGTGGCACAATCATTCAATGGAATGCTGTGTAGTAATGAAAATGAATGAACTGCATGCTGTGAAGCAGGTTCACTGTGCACTCAAAAAAGAAGAAATTCTTTTTAACCTTGGGTTGGACAAGTATTTCTTAGATGTGACACCAAAATTCAAAAGACACTTGTTAAGAGATTAAAAAGACACAGAATGGAAGAAAATATCTGCAAATCAAATATCTGGCAAATAACTTGTATTGAGAATATATATTAAAAAAAACTTTCAAAATTAAAACAACTGGGCAAAAGAGATACTTCACCATGGAAGATAAACAGATGGCAAATAAGCACATAAAAAGATGCTCAACATCATTAGGCATGAGGGAACTGTAAATTAAAACCACAATGAGATACTATTACACACCTATTAGAATGGGGAAAAAACTGACAATACTAAGTGTTGGTGAGGATGTAGAGCAACTGCACCTCTCCTATCATAGGCAGGAATGCAAAATGGCACACAGCTACTTTGGAAAATGATTTTCCAGTTGTTTATGAAGTTAAGCATATACTACCATACAACCCTGTAATCCCACTCCCATGTTTATTTACCTCAGTGAAATGCAAACTTAGGTAAACCCAAAACCCTGTACATGAACATTTATATAGCAGCTACATTTTTAATTATCAAAATCTAGAAACATATCAAAGGCTTTCCAACCAGTGAATGGATAAACAACCTGGAATCCTCCATACAATATAATACCACTTGGCAATAAAAATGAGAGAACTAATGATTTGTGCAACAACATGGATGAACCTCAAATGTATTATGCTAAGTGAAAGAAGCCAGACTCAAAAGGCTGCATACTGCATGATTACATTTATATATTACATTTATGGGAAATAAAAACTACAAAGACTGAAAATACATCTATATTTTCCTTGTCAACAATACTACTTCCCTGGTCAGCAATACTGTGCATACTGTCACATCTCAATGTGTTGGGAGGGTGACATGAAGGTGAACAACAGAAGCTTCATGGCTGGGACCCTCTGAGACCTCACCCTATGCATCTCTCCCTTTGTTCTACTTGTATCCTTTTGCTATAATAAAACTGTAATCATAAGTATTTACTTTCCTGAGTTCTATGAGTCATTCTACCAAATTATTAAACCTGAGTGTATACTGAGAACCCTTAAGTTGAATCAAGGTGTGGAAGTGGAAGTGGCACCATTCACCATCACCCCTAGTGACCCACTAGCAAAAGTTTTGCTTCCTGTTCCTGCAACATTATGTTCTGCCGGCCTAGAGATCTTAGTTCCAGAGGGAGGAATGCTGCCACCAGGAGACACAACAATGATTCCATTAAACTGGAAGTTAAGATTGCCACCTGGCCACTTTGGGCTCCTCCTACCTGTAAGTCAACAGGCTACAAAGGGTGTTGGCTGGGGTGACTGACCCATACCATCAAGATGAAATCAGTCTAATACTCCACAATGGAGGTAAAGAAGAGTATGTGTGGAATACAGGAGATCCCTCAGGGCATCTCTTAGTATTACCATGCCTTGTGATTTATATCAGTGGGAAACTACAACAACCCATTCCAGGCAGGACTACAAATGGCCCAGACTCTTCAGGAAAGAAGGTTTGGTTTGGGTCATTCTACTGGGTAAAACACCACAACCCACTGAGGTGTTTGCTGAAGGCAAGGGGAATACAGAATGGATAGAAGGCGGCAGTTATCAATATCAGCTATGACCATATGAGCAGCTGCAGAAAGGAGGACTGTAATTGTCATGAGGATTTCCTCCTTATTTTGTTAAAAATATGTCTGTGCATGTTTACACCTGTATTAAGAAAATATCTTCATTTTATTTCCTTTTTTCTTTATCATGTGACATAAGATTTATTGACTTCATATCAGCACTTAATTGTTGTTAACTTTATGTAACAGCATTTAGGCTAAGAATTAGTGTGCTTCCAGCTGTGACAGAGATAGCTGTATCGTGTTAGAAGTAATTATTACCTTATTATTGTCTTTACTTGAAGATTTATGTGTGATTTCAGGAGATGTGTACAGTTTTAAGTTGCCAAGGGGTAGACTTATAATGGTTAATACTGATTGTCAACTTGATCGGATTGAAGGATGCAAAGTATTGTTCCTGGGTGTGTCTGTGAGGGTGTTGCCAGAGGAGATTAACATTTGAGTCAATGGAATGGGAAAGGCAGACCCACCCTCAGTCTGGGTGGGCACCAGGGCAGCTAGAATAAAGGGCAAAAGAAGGTGGGAGGAGCTGGCTTGCTGAGTCTTCCGGCCTTCATCTTTCTCCCATGCTAGATGCTTCCTGCCCTCAAGTTCTTCAGCTTTTGGACTCTTAGACTTACACCAGTAGTTTGCCAGGGTCTTTGGCCACAGACTGAAGGCTGCACTGTCGGCTTCCCTATTTTTGAGGTTTTGGGACTCAGACTGGCTCCTTGCTCCTCAGCTTGCAGAAAACCTACTGTGGGACTTCATCTTGTGATCGTGTGAGTCAATACTCCTTAATAAAACCCCCCTCATATATTCATCTATCCTATTAGTTCTGTCCTTCGAGAGAACCTTGACTAATACAGAAGTCATTGCAACATAATATACATAATGATTATAAAATAAAACAATATGTCAGTTTAGACCAAACATACCAGCCAAATCAATCAATGTGATTAGGCCTTAAGAAGGCTTATTAAAAAAAGATCTCCAGATTGACTCACAAGCAAGATCCAGCTGTATGTTGTATACAAGAAATACAACTAAAACAAAGTGATTCAAGAAGGCTAAAAGTAAAGGGATAGGCAATGGTCAACCAGACAAATAAATGGAAACAATAAGAAAGCAGAGGTTGAGATCCTGACATTATCCTTAGTCTAAAGATAAAAGGCATACAAACAAATTGTGTATTATATTCAGCAGGTTGGTTTTCCACAGTGATGTGGGTGCAGCAATTCTGACTCTACTTTATGTATACTGTAGACTGAACAAATGAGTGAATTATTGATGCTAGGAACCAGTGCTCTCACTGTTAAAGAAGGGAGATGCAAATATGCAATGAGGGATGACTAAGATTCCCAGGATGCTATATGAACTCAAAATATGTATGTATGTGTGTGTGGTGTATGTGTGTACACATACAGATGTAGACATATAGATGTAGATATATATGTCCATACACACATCTCTGTTCACTGAAAGGGCCTAGAAGTAACGATGCCCCAGCAGTAATGAGCACAGCTAGCACCCAGACTTTGGTTTCTAAATATAATTATCCATTAACAGGAACCAGAGCTCCTTGGAGAAATGGCTGATTCCAGGGCTAGGGCAAGTAAAGTTAAAGATGACCGCTGGAACATCTTGTGCCAGAAAATAAGAAAACACTCAGAGCTCAGAAATGGACCAAACCTACCAAAGCCTTAAAATTCCACTTTTAGGACTGATATAGTTTGGCTATCTCTCCCTCCAAATCTTATGTTAAAATGTGATCCCGGTTGGATGTGGTGACTCATGCCTGTAATCTCAGCACTTTGGGAGGCCAAGGTGGGTGGATGATTTGAGGTCAGGAGTTTGAGACCAGCCTGGCCAACATGGTGAAACCTCATCTCTACTAAAAATACAAAAATTAGCTGGCAGTGGTGGTGTATACCTGTAATCCCAGCTACTCGGGAGGCTGAGGCATGAGAATTGCTTGAACTCAGGAAGTGGAGGTTGCAGTGAGAGCTGAGATCACGCGCGCAGGCGTCCAAACGTGCCCTGCCCAGCCCTGGCAACGAGTGAGAGACTGTCTCAAAAAAAAAAAAACAAAAAAAAAATATGTGAGTCCCCAGCTGTTAACCAAAGCGGAGGGGCACGTGTCGAAGGCGTGCCCTTGGGTAAGTGGCCGGCATTCCGGATCCTCACTCGAAACGCTTGGTGCAATTCCTTTGGCTGATGAGTGAACTCTCACTCATTTGCTTCAGAAACAAGATCCAGGCGATTGTTATACAGAGTCTGTCCGCCCCTCCTCCCCCAGGGACTCGTGCTCCACTCTTGCTCCGCGCTCGACACACCTCCTGGTCTCCATCTTCTCGCTCTCTGCCATGAGTACGCATCCTTCCCTGACGGCCCTCCACCCCCGAGGAATGCAGAATGCTCGGGTATCCATCATGCTCTTGTACAGCTTGGCAGGACTGGTGACCAAAACAAACCTCTTCTCTTATAATTTTTTTTTCTAAAGAAAATGTCAAAAAATAAGGGATGTGGTCCAAAAGGACCAAAAGCAGCTTAAAGGGACTGCTCAGGAGCCAACTCAGCGCCCAGACTGAGCAATGAGAAAAATACATGACGTAATCCTCTCATTCGAATCCCTAGAACCCCCATCAAATAAAAACTTTTCCTATTCTCGATCTGAAAGAAATGCGATAAGAAGTTTGCCATCTAGTAAGAATGACACACTAAATACAGAAGAAAATAATAAGAGTAAAAATTGTCATTCTGGCTACCCCATGCACAATAACTGATTCAAAGCGCAGCCGATCTGCCGATCAACTGGATAATTAAATACTAATGGCTGGTGACAACAGTTGATGAAAAAGGGGACCATATATGTACAGCCGCTCAAAGTACTCTCATGCCACCATAGTTATTAATTACAAAGGAAAAAATAGTAAATTGTTACAGCAAGAAAGAACGTGGGTAGTGACAGAAACAGTGAACTCAAAGCTTAATATCCCATATCAAAAATGAGACAAACATTGGGCTGGGTGTGGGTAGGCGGACCTCAACAACCTGTCAAAAACCCCCCACAGCACTTGGGAAACCGAGATGAGGCAGATCACTATGGCAGCCAGGAGTTCAAGACAAGCCTGGGCCAAACATAGCTGACACCAACCACCACTCTACTCAAAAAATTCAAAAAATTACCACAGCGCGCAGATGGCGCACACACACTGTAATCCAGTTTAACCTTGAGAGGCTAAGGCGCAGAACTCTCTGTGAACCACGGCGGAAAGGCGGAGTCCAGTAAATCGAATGAAATGCGCCGCACTCGCATTGCAACACGAGCCTAAGGCAAAAAGAAGTGAGACTCCGTCTCAAAAAAAAACAAAAAAAGAAGAAACGACCAATTGCTTGAACCATCATTTGCCCCTGATGTGATACAACAAGAACACATCACTTATACTGTTTTCCTGCCAGAAATGCATGAACTCAATCAAACCATGAGGAAACATCAGACAAATCCAAAGTGAGGGACATTCTGCAATATGGATGGCCTATGTGCTTTAAAAATGTCACAGACATAAAAAATGAAGAAATGCTGAGGAAGTCTTCCAGATTAAAATATAAAGAATATATACTGCATAATAGTATTATATCAATGTTAACTTTCTGAGTGTGTTCAGTGTAATTTAATGATATAGGAGAATGTCCTTGCTCTTAGGAAATTGAGGAGTCCAGCTCCTGGCTAAAACTCTATGTGTGAAAAAGGTCTGACCAATGACAATTACAAAGACTTCAGCTGTCAGGCTTTGTAGGAGAAATCTGCCCCCACATCAGACTTGGAATATATAGCCAAGACATTATAGTCTCTAAAGAGACTTACAGTCCAGGACTCAGGCCCCTCTGGCCTGCCCCACTCTTACAAATATCTGTATTCCTAGGCCAGGCACCTTCATTGGAGAATGATGATCATTAATTCAAATTTCTAGGTTTGTTTATGCCACTCCTGCTGATTATTGAGCCAGAGTAGCGTTCATCAGGAGGTCAGGTCAATTAGTCCACAACAAAATCCGAATCATAGCTGACAAATTCTCAGGCATTAAAAAAAACAGCTACTGACAAAATAATAAAAATTAATCACCAACGTCTACAAATATATTTTTGTTGATATCTACAATATCCATAAAAATACAAATCAGGTACCCTTCCCTAAATAATCTGGGCAACAGCCTTCCTCCAAAAATCTGGGTCTGGTTACTCAATAACAGGGTCTCAAAATAAGAGACTGATGGGCTTCTCACTAAAAAATTAATGGACAGGTACTAGGTTGTACAGGGCTCAACATACAGCCCCACTAGGGTCTGCACAGTGATGACTAACATAAAGACTATCTGAAGTGGCTAGCAGGAGTAAGCTGTCATTATGCTATTGCGTCTGCCATTAACTATCAAACTGTCACCCCCAAAATAAATGCATACATATGTGTGTATGCAGACACACACATACGCATATGTATACAGAAATAAAGTAAAAATAAATGTGGGAAAAGGTCAAAAACTGATGAATCTAGATAAAAGCTATACAATTATTCATTGAACTATTCTCGCAACTTCTCTACAGGAAATGGCTAGCACATGTGGAAATTTGGTCAAGCTCATTAATAAATGAAAGTGAGCAATCATCCATCAATTATATGATTGGCAAGGTATAAAAACACTGATAATACATGCTTGTGGGGAAAATATTCAGAAACAAGCATTCTGTTGCACTCTTAGTGACAGCATGACCTTGTTAGGCCTTTTTAGAAGATAATTTGGCAAGTCCTCTTAAAAATTAAAACAATTTCTTTATTTCAGAAATTCCAGTTATAGGAATCTATCCTACAGAAATGTCTCCACAAGAATACAGACATACACATTCATTCCCTTCCTAACTCTCTTTGTTAAAACAAAAATGGAAGCAACCCAAAATTCTATCAACAAGGGAACAAAAGAAAAATGATGGTTTATGCTTGAATTATAATTGTTATGGGTTGAATTATGTCCCCCCAAAATCTGTATGTTGAAATCCTAACCCCCAATGTGACTATATGTAGAGGGAGAGCCTTTAAGGAGGTAATTAAGGTTAAATAAGGCCATAAGGGTAGGTTCCTCATCCAAGAGGACTGGTGTCCTTATAAGAAGAGAAAAAGACACCAGAGCTCCCTCTCTCTCTCCCTGCACCCAAAGAAGAAAGGCCATGTGAGGCCACAGCGAGAAGACAGCCCTCAGCAAGTCAGGAAGAGCAGCCTCACCAGAAGCCAACCCTACTGGTGCCTTGATCCTGGACTTCCAGCCTCCACAGCTGTAAGAACACAGATTTCTGTTGTTTAAACCACCCAATCTCTGGTATTTCGTAATTGCAGCCTGAAATGACTAATACAATAATCTTGTGCAACTGTTAAGAAGGAAAAGGTGACCACACTTTGGTTATTCATTTGATGAGTATTTGTTAAATTACCACACTGAGTGAAAACCACAAGATGGCAAACTGTATACTTACAAGCCTTCCTTGTTTCAAAGAAATGGATATTAGATAGAAATGGTAGACTTCTAGTCCTGACATGATGGCAGAGACTCCTCTTTCCCTGCTCTTCCCCATGAAGTACAACTATAAACTCTGAAAGTAATGCAAGAGACAACCATAAGAGGACTCTGAAAGGAGGAAAGAGGAAAGCACACATGTTAGAGACCCAAGGACTTAAACAGTGGCAGGACATCTTATGATCCCCTCACCCCAACAACGGAAGGCAACCCAGGCCTGTGTCTCTAAACCCCCAACCTAGCAACAGAACGCAGCCTAAGTAGTCTCTGTCTTCTCCCAAATCAGCAGGAGTCCTTCCAACAACACCAGACAAGCCTGTGACACCAGCAAAGGAGATTAATCTGGAGCCTTGCTGACAATAAGCAGCCACCGGAAGTGCTCTTCTTCTCCACTGAGCCTGAGACTTCCTTCCCCTATCTAGACACTCCCTTTCCACTTCAAGTCACCTGGCGGTCAGGGAGGATGGCAGGGGGATCCCCACACAACAAGCACCCAGCCAGGAAATGTTCTTCATCCCTGCTGGCCAAAGAATTGGCTCTCTCACCCAGAGAACAGATACCATGCAGATGCAGCAGGGGAAAATCTGGACACAACAGGCACCCAACCAAGGAAGCACTGTTTGTCCCCTGTGTAGTGAATTCCTGGAATTTTATGTTGCTTTAGCATCCACTTTGAATATAAGTTGGACTTTCTTGTACAAGAAGCAGGACTCAGTCACCCTTGACACAGTTTCCAGTTCTCCACCTCCTCCCTGTTCCTCAATGTGGTTGACTCAGATATCAGCCTTATACAACCATCTACTGGTGACCATCTCCCTAGGGGACAGCTAGACACAACCTACTTGACTCGCCCCTCTGATCCCCACACCCCTCGTTTACTGAGCAGATATGCCGCAGTGACCACCTCCCAGTCACAGCGTGACTCCATGGAACTTGCGCCTGCTTGCTCTAAACCCATCAGTTAAAACTCTCCATGAAAAGACTTCACCCCACAGCTCCGTCCCCCCATGCCTCTCTCTGTCCCCACTCACTGGCTGAGCATGTATATCGTGGACAGCTCTCTGCATCCCATTGTCCCTGCGAGGTGTGCTGCCCTCTTCCATCTGGACCTGTAAGGAATGTGCTGCCTCTGTGACTTCCTGTGTTCTGTTGAGTTGCCTCCTCTGCATCTCACTTGCCCCACACACCCAAACCTAACTTCTCTCCCAGTCAGGGCTCTCCTAGAGAGTGGCTATCTTGGTAGGAACAAGCTGTACCCAGGTCAGACAAGAGCCACAAGGGTGTCTGCCAGAATAAACAGGTTTCCTGGGAGAGGAACACCTGGTCATGGGTCAGACACAGGCACTAAGCCGCTCATCAGGATAAAGAAGAATTCTCTGAAAGGCACACGTGTCAACACGCACAACCACATTCCCTGGAGCCCCACCAGGATGGGGTTAGAATTTAAAGCCAAGCATATTATTAGAAGGTTGGAACTTTCAGGCCAACCCCCAGATCTCTAGGGAGGGGACAGGGGCTACAGACTGAGTTAATCACCAATGCCCAATGATTTAATCAATCATGCCCATGTTATGGAACTGCCATAGAAACCCCTCAATGGCAGGGTTAGGGAGCTTCTGGTTTAGCGAACACACTGTGTTGGGAGGGCGGCACACCCAGAGAGGGCATGGAAGGAAACTCTGTACTCTTCCATCCCTTGCTCTATAGAACTCTTCCATTTGATTGTTCCTGAGTTGTATCCATCATAATAAACTAATAATCATAAGTGCTTTCCTGAGTTCTGTGAGTTGTTCTAACAAATAACTGAACCTGAAGGGTACATGAGAATCTCTGAATTTGTAGTCAACCAGGCAGAAACGCAGGTAGCCTGGGCACCCCACTCATGGCTGGCATCTGAAGTGGAGGTAGTCTTGCGGGAATAAGCCCTTAACTTGGACGTTCTGCACTAATTCTGGTACTTATGTAGGAATTTGAGGAGGACACAATTCAGCCCAGTAACAATTTACAAAGATTTGTAGCAGCCAACACAAAAATGCTCCCATGATTACAAGTTCTTCTGACACAAAATCTTAGCAAAGAAACAGAAGTTATGAAACAGAGAACAAAATGGAGATTATAGAACCAAAAAATACAAGCAAATAAAAACTCACTGAATGAGATCAATAGTTTAGTGGTGATGACAAAGGACAGAATCAGTGAACCTGAGAAAAGATCAATAGAATTTACTCAATCTGAAAAACAAGTGAAAAAAAACTGAAAAAAAAAATGAAAAGAATCTCAGGGACACATGGGACTATAACAGAAGATCAAACTTCATATCATTGCCATTCCAGAAGGAGATGAGGAGAAACAGAAGGCGGTTACAAGAGTATTTGAAGAAATAATACCTGAAAACTTCCCAAATTTGGCAAAAGACATAAACCTGCAGATTCAAGAAGCTGACCAAATCCATAATTCATGCCAAGACATGACAAAATTAAGCTTCTGAAAACTACAGAAACAGAAAAAATTTTGAAAGCAACCAGAGAAAAACAATGCATTACTTATAGGTAAAAAATCAAAACAAAAAATAACAACAAAAAAACCATTTGAATGACAGCAGATTTCTCATCAGAAACCATGGAGGCTAGAAAAAAGTGGCATATTTTTCAAGTGCTAACAAAAAGGGACTGTCTACCACCAATTCTATATCTGGCAAAGTTATCCTTCAGGAATGAAGGGGAAATTAAGACATTCTCAGGTGAAGGAAAACTAAAAGAATTTGTCTCTGGCAGACCTACTCTTAAGAAAATGCCTAAAGGAAGTTCTTCTAACACAAGGGAAGTGATAAAAGAATGAATCTCAAAGCATCAAGAAAGAACCAGGAACAACAGAGCAGAAAAATGACCAATTCTATATAAATACATAGGGAGGAGAAAGGGAATCAGAGGAAGGGGTGGAAAGAATGAGAGACAAACTTCCCTAGGGACTTTTAGCAAACTGTGAAGATGAGTCCCCTCCTCTCCAGAGGGTGATTTAACCAATCATACTTTTTTATGTGTGTAAGAAGGAGTCTTGCTCTGTTGCCCAGGCTGGAATGCAGTGGTGCGATCTCTGCGCACTGCAACCTCCGCCTCCCGGGTTCAAGCAATTCTCCTGCCTCAGCCTTCTGAGTAGCTGGGATTACAGGCACCCGCCATCACACCTAGCTAATTTTTGTATTCTTAGTAGAGACAAGGTTTCGCCATGTTGGCCAGGCTGGTCTTGAACTCCTGACCTCAGGTGATCCACCTGCCTCGGCCTCCCAAAGTGCTGGGATTACAGGCGTGAGCCACCGTGCCTGGCCAATTGTCCCTTTTTATATTCACATCTTTTTTAGATTCCTGAGTAGTTTTTGTGCAACCGTTCCATCTGCAATGAGAGAGTTCCATTTCTTTTGTAAGACCAGCAGAAGAGGCCGGGCGCAGTGGCTTACGCCTGTAATCCTGGCACTTTGGGAGGCTGAGGTGGGCGGATCATGAGGTCAAGAGATCAAGACCATCCTGGCCAACATGGTGAAACCCCTTCTCTACTAAAAGTAAAAAAAAATTAGCTGGGTGTGGTGGCACGCGCCTGTAGTCCCAGCTACTCGGGAGGCTGAGGAAGGAGAACTGCCTGAACCCGGGAGGTGGAGGTTGCAGTGAGCCAAGATCATGCCACTGCACTCCAGCCTGGCAACAGAGCAAGACTCCATCTCAAAAAAAAAAAAAAAAAAAAAGACCAGCAGAGGAGAAAAAAATCCCACAATGAAACAACAATAAAAAGATATGCGAGTGCACAGCCAACCTTCCCATTGCTTGCAGAATCTGCCTGGCAGTTCAGCAGTTTGGCAACTATGGTTTGTCAAAGGCCCACAGTGATGGTGGTAAAACGCAGCTGAGATGGCAGACAGGTTTGGGGCAGTGCCTTCTGGCTAGTGCGAGGCAAATGGAGCACACAAGTACATACCCAAGATCTTGGTCCTGTGGGCAGTGCATTATGGCACAAGCAAGATGGAGGAAGCACATTCTACCCTGTCTTTCCCAACGAATACAAGTACAGAACTTGGACAAAGGCCAGGCGTGGCTCACGCCTGTATTCTCAGCACTTTGGATGGCCAAGGTGGGCAGATCACCTGAGGTCAGGAGTTGGAGACCAGCTTGCCCAACATGGTGAAACCCTGTCTCTACTGAAAATACAAAAATTAGCCGGGTGTGGTGGTGGGCACCTGTAATCCCAGCTAACTGGGAGGCTGAGGTAGGAGAATCACTTGAACCTGGGAGGCTGAGGTTGCAGTGAGCTGAGACTGTGCCACTGTAATCCCAGCTACTTAGGAGGCTGAGGCAGGAGAATCACTTGAAACCAGGAGGGGGAAGTTGCCATGAGTCAAGATCGCACCACTGCACTCCAGCCTGGGTGACAGAGCAAGACTCCATCTCAAAAAAAAAAAAAAAAAAAAAAAAAAAAAGGAGCAAGTAGATTATGGGAAAACATCAGAATTTAAAGTACCACTAAATGGACTGTGAGTTTGCCACTTATTCTCTGGTATCTCCCGGCCCAGGATCAAGGCATTATCAAACCAAGAAGAGAGCACTGAGATGCAGAGAGAGAGAGAACTCAAGAAGCAGCCCTCTGGATCTGGCTTGAAGAGTGGTAAAAAGAACCAGGCACAGTTGGGGAAGTGTGTAGCATAGCACAGTAAGTAGAGTCTCAGTTTTCTGTCAGGAGGATGGACAAGGAGGGCCACAGGGAACCAAAAAGTACACAGGAAATCATGGAGAGGAGGAGTTCACCCCATACAATCATTTATCCACTCCCGGGCTCACCCTCAAGCTGTGCATGGATGGATCTAATCCTAAACAGAAAAGCGAACACTTTGAGAACTGAACTAAGGGACAAACCACTGCCCGCCTCTGTCCCAGAATGGCCACAGGGTCACACACAGACAGGACAGGTCTGAATGGCACTGCATAGGTTTGAAAACTGAACTGACACTGAAACCACAAACCACAGAAGGCTGATTAGAACGTGCAGCCTGAACTCAACCAGGCTGACTGGCTATCACAAACAAAAACATCAACTTTCTCCTCAGGATTTAAACATAACCCCAACTTATAACAGCATCTTCAAAATGTCCAGGACACGATACAAAATTACATGGTACACAAAGAACCAATCAAATCTCAACTTGCATGACAGAAAACAATCAATAGACACCATCACTGAGATTACACAGATGTTGGAATTATTTGAGAAAGTATTTAAAATAGCTATTATAAAAACACCCCAAGAAGTAAGGGCAAACACTCCAGGAACCAACCAAAAAAAACAGAAAGTTTCACCAAAGAAACAGAAGATATAAAGAAGAACCAGTCGGGTGCGGTGGTTCACACCTGCAATCCCAGCACTTTGGGAGGCTGAAGTGGGAGGATCATGAGGTCAGGAGTTCAAGACCAGCCTGGGCAATATGGTGAAACCCCGTCTCTACTAAAAATACAAAAATTAGCCAGGCACGGTGGCAGGCGCCTGTAGTCTCAGCTACTTGGGAGGCTGAGGCAAAAGAATCACTTGGACCCAGGAGGCAGAGGTTGCAGTGAGCCGAGATCGTACCACTGCACTCCAGCCTGGGCAACAGAGCGAGACTCTGTCTCAAAAATAAAATAAAAAAAAGAACCAAATGAAAATTTTGAAACTGAAAAAGATAATAACTGAAATAAACTCTCAATTGATGGACTCAACACAACAGAGATAACAGAGAAAAGAGCAAGTAAGCTTCAAGGTAAACCAATAAAGATTACCTAATCCCAAAAATAGAAAAAACACTGCAGAAACATGAACAGATTCTGAGACCTGTGGGACAATACCAAAAGGTCCAAAATTCACACCATCAGAGTTCCAAAAGGAGAGGAGAAAGAGGATAGTACAGAAAAATATCTGGAAGAAATAATTCCTGAACACTTCCCCAAATTTGGCAAAAGACAAAAATCTGTATGTTCAAGAGGCTCAGCAAGTTCAAAACAGGATAACCCCAAAGAAATTCACACTCAGACACATCATCACCAAACTGCTGAAAACTAAGGACAAGTGAAAAACAACATATCATTTACAGGAGAACAACTATTTAAATGACTGTGGATTTCTCATGAGAAACCAGGGCATGCAGAAGAAGTGGAACAGCATTGTGAAAGTTCCAAAAGAAAACAACAGTCCACTGAAAAATCTACAGGCAGTAAACATCTCCTTCAGAAATGAAGGTGAAATGAAGACATTCTCAAGGAAGGAAAACCAAGACTATGTTGCCAGCAGACTTGCTCTGAAACAACTGCCAAAGGCAGTTCTTCATAACAGGCAAATGATATCAGAAGGAAACTTAGGTTATGAACAATGAAGGAAGAACATCAAAGTGGTAAAAATCTGGGTAAATACAATAGATTATCCTTGAGTTCTTTAAAATACATTTGACAGTTGGAAGAGAAATAACATTTTATGGTAGAACTTTCAGTATATATGAAAGTAATATTAATACATAAGACAACAAAAACATAAAGGGGAGAGGAAAAAGGGGCTTATAAGATGGTAAGGTTCACACACTCCACTTAGAGGTAAAATATTGATTCTAAGCATGTTGTGTAAACTTAAATATACACAGTAATTTGCAGGGCAACCACCAAAAAAAAAATATGTAACTCTGTAAACAGATATAGTAAAAAACACAACAGACAAATAAAAATGCAATCTAAGAAAATGTTCAAATAACCCAAAAGAAGGCAGAAAATGAGAAACAGAGGAACAAAAAAGGGAGAAAAACCAGAAAACAAGTAATAAAGTGGTAAATACCTAAATCCAAGAGTATCAATAATTACATTAAATGTCAATGGACTGAATGTACCAATTAAAAGGAAGAAATTTTTAAAATGGATTAAAAAAAATTACCCAACTGTTATGGACTGAATTGTACTCCCACTCACAAATTCATACATTGAAGCCCCAACCTGCAATGTGACTGTATTTAGAGACTGGGCCTTTATAAAGGCAATTAAGGTTAAATGAGGTCATAAGGGTGGGGCCCAAACCCAGCAGAACTGGTATACATATAAGAGAAATGGACATCAGAGCTTGCTGTGTGTGTGTGAGCAGAGGAAAGGCCATATGAGGACACAGCAACACGGTGGCCAGCTGCAAGCCAGAAAGAGTGCCTGAGGCTAAAACCAAATTAGTCAGTACCTTAATCTGGGACTTCCCAGCTTCTGGAACTGTGAGAAAATTGACTTCTGTTGTTTAACCCACCCAATCTGTGGTACTTTGTTATGGCAGCCCAAGCAGACTAATATACCTAGCTACATGCTGTCTAAAAGAATATCCTGGTGGGGCGCGGTGGCTCACGCCTGTAATCCCAGCACTTTAGGAGGTCTAGGTAGGCGGATCACTTGAGCTCAGGAGTTCGAGACCAGCCTGGGAGACATGGCAAAACCTCATCTCTACAAAAAATTAGCCAATTGTGGTGGTGTGTGCCTGTGGTCCCAGCTACTTGGGAGGTTGAGGTGGGAGGATCACTTAAGCCCGGGAGGTCGCCGGAGGTCAAGGCTGCCAGTGAAGCCGAGGAATCTTCCCACTGCATTCCCGACCTGGGTGAGAGGAGGACCCTGCTAAACACACACACACACACACATACTTCAAATATAATAATACAGGATAGGATAAAGAAAGAAATGGAAAAAGTTACCACTTGAAAATACTACCAAAAGTGAAAACTGGGAGTTGACCATATTTAATAAGACCAGCCAATAGAGACTTCAAGAGCCAAAACTCATCCAGGATAATGAATGGGACAGTAAGGGATAAATACAAACTCACCAGCCAAGCACAGTGGCTTTCACCCACTTGTAATCAGGCACTTGGGGAAGGGCTTGAGGCGAGGGGATCACCTGAGGTCAGGGTTTTCAAGACCAGCCGGCCAACATGGGCAAAAAACCCGGTCTCTACTAAAATACAAAAATTAACTGGGCGTGGGTGGCGGTGGTGCATGTAATCCCAGCTACTTAGGGGGCTGCAG